TGACAACAGTTAGTGCAGTGCTTCTCAACGTTTGTGTGACGGTGACTCCCGTCACACAAACGGTCTGCGCATGTGCTGGGCCGCGTGCATGGGGCGGGGCCCCCACGCGCGACGCGCATGCGCGACGCCCCCCCCACGCACGGCGCGCGTGCACGGTGCCGCCCCCAAGCGCAACGCGCGTGCACGGCGCCGCCCCATGCGCGGCACGCATGCGCAGCGCCGCCCCCATGCGTGGCACGCGTGCACGGCGTCGCCCCATACGCGGCACGCATGCGCAGCGTCGCCCCCATGCGCGGCACACGTGTGCGGCACCGCGAAAAATGGCAGATCGCCGCCTTTGGTGACCCCCGAAAAATGGGCGATCGACCCCAAATGGGGTCACGACCCATAGGTTGAGAACCGCTGAGTTAGTGGAATGGCTTTATTCCAGGTATTGTGGTATTCCATCGCTGATGTTTTTAAGAAGAGATTAGACAGCCATTTGTTTGGAATTGTATAGGATCTTCTGTTTGAGCACGCATTTGGACTAGATGACCTCCAAGGTGCCTTCCAATTCTTATTTTGTAATCTGTAATCTATTCCAGAAATTGGAAATATAATTTTGCCTTGGTTGATTTATTTCAGGAAAATGAAAAACAGTAATTGACAAAAAATATTTTTTCATTTTTTATGTCAAAGAATGGTTTTGAATTGAATGCTGTGGGTTTAAGAAACATATGTCATCAGGATAGTTAATGGTATACTTCAACAACAGCTATGTCTGGTAAACTATCTGGTTTCTTATAACAAATTTTTTATTAGTTTTCCATTTACAATTAAGTATTTGGAAAGCAATGTGGTGATTGGGTTAGTCAATTATTCAATAACAACATATTTTGTACATATCTCAGGCTACATCATCAAAAATTCCTTCTCCGTTTCCCTTAACATTTATATCATATTTAAGCTAGTAAGTTTCTAATTATATCAAATTCAGTTAAAACATTTATCAATACATTTTTGCTTATACATATCCTGTTTTTAAGTTTTACCTAATTTTAATGTTTAATTGCAACATTCCAATTTAACCTTTAATATCCATAATATTTTATTTTTGGGTAGCCCAAATTTCCTTTATTTCACTACATAGAAGTTATACTATCTAAAATACACATATTACTTACATAAGTATATTCTTATTTTATTTCATAAACGTTTTCTATTTCTCATCCTAATACATCACCAGAATAATAGAGTATCCTTTATTATCTCAAATCCATCATCTGCATTATCTGGGCTAAACAATAATTCAAAGCTATTTCCTAATAGTTAATTTTCATTTCCCTTATAAGTCTAAGTCCTCAATATTAAGCCAATTAATCCCTTGTTTTTTTATTATTTTCTGACAATATTTAACTCTAATAATCAAACTTCCCTTCATCTCAAAGTCTCCCTTTAGCCCTTTAGTTGAAACTTTAGGATCCTGTCTAATAAATCAAAAGACCCCAATTTTTAAAATCTAACTCTGGCTTTCTTTTTATGCCAACCAGGCTTCCATACCAATGCTTTTAGATCATCAGATAGATCTCCCTTCATTTTGTAGATGTTACTTGAACTAAAGGAGGCCATCTAATTGTCAATTTTCTTGAAACACTGGCCCATTTATAATCATTAAGTTGGCTCTAATATATTTGTCTTCCATTCAATCTGGTCTTCTTCTTCCTCAGGTTTCATCTGGTTTAAGTAGAAAGTCATGTCCAATTTTATAGTTGTTTGATTGTCTAAGTTTTCAGTAGGCTGTACTTGTTGATCTTTAACACCCTCTGTCTTGGTATTAGTTTCTTCCGCTTCTGTTGTTTTTTGAATTGTAAATTCTTTAGTTGCAATAAGGTTTCACTTTATGGATTTAAGCTAGTGCCTTTGTCTTTCAATCTGGATTTAATTATCTCAGTAGCTTCAAGAATTTTTTCAAGTATAAGTTTATAATTAACCGAAATTTGTTGCTGGTTATCCTCCATTTCTGGCATGGTTATAGATAGTCCTTTAGTGAAGGCTATTTATTAAGCAAGAGTCAGTAAGTGTACACCTCCACAGTTCCTAAAAAGCAATTTCACTGCCCAGTTGTTCTCTCAGCTTTTAATCTCTTTTAGATAATACCAAGGACAGATCTGGGTCATAAGCAGGTTTCTTTGTCAGGAATATTCACTTGCTGTACCAGATTTCACCAAAAGATGTCGTCGATAGCATTTAAAGTCTTTTTCAAATCCCAGGCTAAGTTCTTTTTCATTCTTTTTATGAGTAGATAAAGTAGCAAGTCCCCATGAGAGTAGGAACTTTTGGAGTCCCCAAATATCAAAAAGATGCAAATCCAATTTTTTAGTTGTTCTTTTCAAGGCTTTATTTTGCCTAAGTAGTCAGACACCACCATTTTAGAGGGTGGGAGGAGAACATTCCCTTCCCTCTCTCCTCACAGGGGGAAGAAATTTCAAGAAGCTTTTTACAGGAAAGTACTTGGGGTACAAAGAAGGTAAGATCTCACCCAATTCCTCCACGGTGCTTTGAAGTGCTTCTTAGTAATTTTGGCCTCGGCTGGAAGCGGCATTAGTGATGGGCCATGTTAATGGCCGATCTTTTCCTCATCAGTTTGAAGAGCTGCCTGGGATCAAATAGGAGGGCTGCCGCCTTTCCACTCTTCACACTCGTCGTCCCTCCAGGGCAACTTCTGACCCTTTTCAGGGTTCCCCGGAGGGAGAAAATCGGACAGCGGAGGGAGCGATCACTCCGTATGTCCGCCAGCACTGCAATTGCAAACCAGAAGTCCAACTATTTGTCTGATTTATCTACAACTGAATATTGGATTATAGGGCAACTGCTCACATGTCAGCTTGTAAAGTCTTATATAATATGTGGGGCAATATCCATCCCAATAGTCAGCAGGTTAAGGAGGTGGTTGTCTTATAGAAAGGTTTGTCTGAAATGGTATAGGGTTTCCTGCCTGAGCAGGGAGTTGGACTAGATGACCTCCAAGGTACCTTCCAACTTTATTATTATTATTATTATTATTATGTGGGAAAGCTCACAAGGAAAATGTATCTTTCATGAATATCTCATGAAGTTTCAGAAGTTTCATTAGCATTAATCTCATATTTTATGCTTCTAATACCTGCATCAAAAAATCCATGTAGGCTTAAGAAGAATAAATTTACTTTGGAAGCTGCATGCACATCTAAAACCAAACAGCTTATAGCTCAGTTTTGGGTTTTCATGAGAATTAATTGAAATTCAACCAGCTATTTGGAAAATTAGTTACCGTCATTACCATCTGTATCAAACCCTCTACATAAAGCAATTGAATGAGAGAACTATTTTTCCCAGGATTAACAAAAGCCAATTTCTTAAAGGATAAGAATAAGTTCTTTGGGTCAGAGCACATGTGGAATAGTTTATTCAGATATCCTATGGTATTATTAAAATTGCTAAAAGCAAAACTGAAAAGTTTTTCTGTTGGTTTCCTTTCACAAAACATTTTAGAATTAAAAAAGGAAAAGTTTCTCCCTTGTTCTCCAGGAACCATTTGACAGTAGCAAATATTTATTATGTATGTATGTTTCTACGTATATACATATGTATGTATTTAAAACATTTATATAACTGTCCATCTTTCAGACAACTCTGGATGGCTTATTGTGTGCCTGTTATCTCAAAAGGCCTCATCCATCATAGCATTCTGCAGTTAAAATGAAATTATGAGTCTCAAAAATGTTTGCCTGGCTGGCTGATCTGGCATTAATGACACAGCAACAAGGATGAAAGGATAAATTTCCTTTATTTTGCCAACAAAATTAATCAATCACAGTTTGGACTTCCCCAAAATAGAGATTTGTGTGGGAAACCCCTGAAATCATCATTGCAGCAATAGTGCAATGGGAAGTTTTCATCGTCATCTCCAGCTGCCCTATGAGTAAATCTAATCCAACAATGTTTAATATTTGGGCCAAACATTTGGCTAGATATGGGTCAGGATCCCCATCCCTGCCCCCAAATCATTGTCACACCAGAGTTATAAATCTAAAGGTTCTCTAGCTTTGTTGAGACATTGTCTATTTTAGTTATTTTGCTTTAGAATTTTGCCTTTGGTGTCCAAAGAAATTTAGAAGCCTCTTTCCAATGAAAAGGTCTAATGTCAAAAGAGCAAGAGATTTGATCAAAACAAACCTCCAATTTGTCAGGGCAGAGGATGTTCTACAGATCTCTGCTAAGTTTTATCCATGCTTACCTGAAGCTGCTTCTATTCTAGTTTTTATTTATAGCAAACTTTTTCAGTGCGTAATGAAGTAGTCATGCAAAGCCACATTATGTTGCTAGTTTACTGATCTATGTGCAAAACATTGGTGGGCAAACTGTTCATTATGGATAGACAAAGTTTGGGTATCAAGTTATACATTTAGACAGTAGGCTAATCTGCAGCTCACCTCATTTTTGAAAAACAATAATCTGTTCATGGCAAAAGATTACATGAATTGGCTGAATAGAAGAGGCATCGTGTTCTAGAGATCTGCCAGTCAGACCATAACACTGGGACCAAGAAATATTGTCCAGAAACACCAAAGATTGTATCAGAGCACTGCACCCCTAAATTGCAAAAAGTTCATGAGATTCTGAGCAAAAGTTAACAGAATATAGAATAACAGAGTTGGAAGGGACCTCAGAGGTCTTCCAGTTATAAGTTGCAAGCTTCCAGATAATAATGCGGAAATCTTGTGACATCCCTTAAATTTTAACAGTGCAATGGTAAAACACGAAATTTCAGTCTTTTTTGTACGTTTAATAGGAGCTGGGAAAGTTTGCCAACCTCTTAATTGTATCTATATACATCTGTTTTTGATATTAAATTCTTACTTAAAACAACACACAGGAACCTAGATTGAGCCTCTTTGGAATATTAGCTTTTGATATTATTATTATACAGTAATGCAATGTGACAATTGTTCTGAAATGTTTTCTTTTCTCCATTCCCTCAGAAAATACACAGGGCATTCTTGTTATCTATGAAGAAGCTGCAGAGGAATGGGCTCTGTATTTAAAATCAATTTTCAAGCACATTATACTAGAAGACAAGATCTTACTTTACGACTTAGAAGCTGCATCGATTCACCATTCAGAAGTGCCATTTCTTTGCTCTTACAGATGCAAACTGTTGATAATATCAAATGGTCTTTTAAAGGGCCTGAATCTGAAAAAAAGATATTTTCTGAACAAGATTCTACAGCCTCCTGAAAGGGTAGCTATTTTGCTTTGTGGGGTAGAAGATTCAACTCTTATCTATCAGACACTGAACATAGACAAATGCAATCAATTGATGACCACGGATCAAGGCCCGGAAGATTATCTTGCTGTTATATCTGATATTATTCAACAAGGTACTATCCTCTCTCCCTCCTTTTTTCTGCTTCTAATTTCTATATTTTAGGATAAAATATGCAAGCTCAGAGATTATGTTACTATATTTTATGTTTAGACATTTCCTCAAATAACTTAATTATGATGAAAAATACTTTGTCATTATGGTGAAATATTAAGTGTGTACAACTTGATAGAAATATGGAAGCCGCCTCTAGCTATATTGGAGAAGGCTGAAGCGAAGCAGTAGAGAAGAACGAAGCAAAGCTAGATGACTTTTTCATTTCATATTTAGATGAAAAAGCTTTGAGAAAAGCATTTCACTAGAGCTTTTGTTGAAGCAAAGCACACACACACACACACACACAAAGTTTTGCACAGGATCATAAATATCCGTCATGCCAAGTGTTATGTCCTGAGTCTGTGCAAGCAGGCTCGGGGCATTGCAAACGGTCCCGGGCAGGTGCAAGTTGCCCGGGACCAGACAGGCTGTCGCCAGTACTTGTGCGCATGCGCAAGTGCTGGCGCGCCAAAAGTTGCAGATTGACCCGGGGATGGCCTATATAAGAGGCCAGGAGTTTTGGGCGTTGTCAGCGTTTTCTAACTGTAAGCTGAACCACAGAATAAAGAGTTCCTGAGAACTACAACTGCTTCTCGTGTCTTGCCATTTCGCGACGGACGCAACACTGGCAACGAGGATGGGATGCCTTACATCAACAAGAAAGGTGTAAGCTTACCCGAGTGAGTCCGTAGCAGCAGGAATGGCGTTGACTCGGCAGCTACCCGCCAATCCCGCGTGCATTCGGGGGTAGGCTGGCTGATAGACCCTTCCTGATACAAAAATGGCAAAGATTGGAAGGCTTTCGGAATTCGACGTCTCACATCCAGAGAGGTGGGCGTCCTACGTAGCCAGGGTCGAGAACTACCTCAAGGTGAATCAAGTGAGGGAAGATAGCCTGAAGGCAGCCACTCTGCTGTGCGTTTGCGGTCAAGACGCATTCGAAATTGCTGAGAACCTTGCAGCACCTGTTCCTCTAGAGTCTGTCAGCTACGCAGATCTAAAGAAGCTACTGAAAGAGCACTTCCAACCGAAGATGTCCGTCATCGCGTGGCGCCACACCTTCGAGCAGAGGGACCAACGACCTGGAGAATCGGCCAAGGAGTACATCGCCGCATTGAGGAAAGCTGCCAAACATTGCGAGTTCAAGGACCTCGAAGAATGACTGAGGGACAGATTCGTATGCGGGCTAAGGCATCGAGAGCTACAACAGAGACTTTTTGCTAAGGAGGACTTGTCTTTCCAAGATGCCTTGAGAGAGGTCACAGCAGAAGAAGCAGCGGGCGGCGCCATCAAGAACATGCGGTCGATCAGGAACAGTTCAGATGCTGCATCCGTGCACCAGGAAGAAGTCCAAAGGAACTCCGAGGAGGATCCGGACGAGGAAGTGGACCGTCTGCACCCCACAAAGGAAGGAAAACCAAGAGGAAGCTCTTCAGCTGTCCACAAGTGCATCGGTTGTGGAGGTCGCCACAAGAGAACTGACTGCAAGTTCCGCTCCGCTATCTGCAGGGCATGCGGAAAACAAGGACACATTGCAGCTGTGTGCCTGGGCCGTCAGAAGGTACAACCTCAGGAAGAATTGCGCCTGAAAGGTACCAGGGGTCCCAGCCAGAATAGGGTGGGGTTTTGCGCTTCGCGAAGAAGCATCTATAGGACAGGCACACACAAGCCTATTAAGAAAAAGCTATCACTCAAGGTAAAGCTACAAGGGGTTCCATTAACTATGGAACTGGACACGGGGTCTGCACTTTCAATCATTTCTATGCATACATTTAGGAAGATTTGTTCCGGTAGCAGAATCCAGGCCACGTTGAGGCCTTCTGACATTGTGCTAACAGACTTTCAAAACTCCAGAGTGTGTGTTAAGGGGGAGGCCACCCTTAACGTGCAATATAAGGATTTTGAGGGTCCACTAGACCTATTAGTAGTAGGAGGTGAACGAACGAGTCTCATAGGACTTGAGTGGTTTGAGGCCTTGGGGATACACGTCACAGGGCTCAACAGTCTACAAACACTCGACCTACAGGAAGTCTGCAAAGAATTTGCAGATGTTTTCAGCCCCCAGCTGGGCACATTCAAAGGACCCCCTGTGTCACTAAAGCTAGACCCCACTGTCACTCCCATAAGAATTAAAGCAAGAAGGGTCCCTTTTGCTTTAAAGAGTAAAATTGACACTGAGCTGGATAAACTAATCCAACAAGGAATTCTAGAACCTGTTGACTCCAGTCCCTGGGAGACCCCCATTGTCACGCCTCTCAAGGCAAATGGGGACATTCGCATCTGTGCTGATTACAAATGCACTCTGAATAAGGCATTGCAGCAACATGCCTATCCTGTTCCTGTGGTCAGTCATATTCTGGCCTCCCTCAAGGGGGGGCGTGTTTTTGCAAAGCTTGACCTAGCTCAAGCATATCAACAGCTGCCTGTTGATGATGATGCTGCTATAGCTCAGACCATTGTGACCCACAGAGGAGCCTTCAAGGTAAAGAGGCTACAATTTGGAGTAAATGTCGCTCCTGGGATTTTCCAAAGCGTAATGGAAAACACACTACGGGGTATACCAGGGGTTTGCCCCTACTTTGATGATGTCTTAATTGCAGGAGACTCCACACACAATTTAGCTGAAAGGCTGAGGGCTGTCCTGTCAAGGTTCAGGAAAACAGGCCTCAAACTTAAAAAGGACAAATGCAAAATTGGGGTGCCTTCTACTGATTTCCTGATGCTGCTGGGATTCACCCTGCTGAATCCAAACTAAAAGCTATTATTCATGCCCCTAGGCCAAAGTCTAAGGCCGAACTTCAGGCTTTTCTGGGTCTTCTGAATTTCTACAATTCTTTTCTTCCACATAAGGCTAGTGTAGCTGAGCCTCTTCACAGGCTATTAGATAAACAGGCAGTGTGGCAGTGGTCACAAACACATGAGGCAAGTTTCAATGAGGTCAAGGCCTTACTCACTTCTAACAGTGTACTTGCACATTTCAATGAATCCCTTCCTGTGTGCATCGCTTGTGATGCTTCCCCTTATGGGGTAGGAGCTGTACTGAGCCACCTCAGGTCTGATGGAACTCAGGTTCCTGTTGCATATTACTCCAGAACATTATCTTCTGCTGAGCGTAATTATGCTCAAATAGACAGGGAGGCCCTAGCTGTTGTTGCTGGGATTAAAAAATTCCATGATTTTTTATATGATAGGCATTTCATGGTCTTCACTGACCATAAGCCTTTGCTGGGACTGTTTACCACACGTAAGCAAACCCCCCAAATCATCTCCCCCAGGATGCTCAGGTGGTCTATCTTTTTGTCTGCATATGGTTTTTCCCTACTTCACAAGCCTGGGAAGGAAATGGGCCATGCTGATGGCCTCAGTAGATTACCCCTGCCGGTAATAGAAGCTGACCCCGCGCCAGCTATCAATCTTCTTTCTATCCAAGCCTTGCCAGAGTCCCCTCTAAATGCCAGGGATGTAGCTGCTGAATCGGGCACGGATCACACACTTTCACGTGTCCTTTCTTGGGTTTTGTCTGGATGGCCTGAGCACTGTCCTAGTCCTGAGTTTCAGAGCTTCTGGTCCAAAAGCAACCAGCTGTCCACCTCTCAGGGTTGTCTGCTTTGGGGAAGCAGAGTTGTCATTCCCACCTCAATGAGGACTAGGGTCTTAGGTTCCCTCCACAAGGGTCATCCTGGCATTGTACGAATGAAGGCTCTTGCGCGCAGCCACTTGTGGTGGCCTGGCCTAGACAAAGACATTGAAGCTAAGGTGCATGCATGCCACCTTTGTCAATGCTCATGCTCCGAAATGCCCCAAGCTCCTGTGCATAGGTGGGAGGAAACACGATCTCCATGGTCTAGGGTGCACATTGACTATGCTGGGCCCTTTCAGGGTCAATTCTTCTTGGTCCTCGTTGACAGCCATTCAAAATGGCTTGAGGTTGTACCTGTCTCATCCACCACCACTGCAAAGTCTATTCAGGTACTGAGGGGGATTTTTGCTGCACACGGGCTCCCTGACGTCATTGTGTCTGACAACGGCCCTCAATTCACTTCCTCCGAATTCCAAGCTTTTTTGCAGGCTAACATGATTCGTCATGCCACCTCTGCACCTTTCCACCCGTCCACCAATGGTATGGCTGAACGCATGGTTCGCATCACCAAGGAGCCTTGAAGAAACTCACCTATGGAGACTGGCATCACAGGTTGGCTGACTTCCTCCTTTCGTATTGCACCACACCGTCCACTTCTACAGGGAGAAGCCCAGCTGAACTTCATTGGGGGCGCAAACTGACTACCAAGCTTGACCGGTTGCATCCGGACAGACTGCCTCCTTCTGTTTCACACCCCAGGGCACCTAGGCAACTACTTGTGGGTGCCCCGGTTTGGACTCGTAATTACGGGCCTGGTCATACATGGGTCCCCGCTTCTATATCCAGGGTCACAGGTCCTCTATCCTACGAGGTGTCCCTGGACAACGGTCGTGTCCTGCGTCGGCACATCGACCAACTTCGCCCTAGACGGGACCTTCCCGCTGAGACTCCTGGGTCTTTTCCAGGGGAGGAACCCTTTGGGCAAAGGGAGGGGCATGGAATGATGCCCATTATCAATGGGGAAGCTACACACAGCCCATCTCAAGATTCCGCGAGTGCTCCAAACAGGAATTCAAGGAGCCCAACTAGATACCAGGCATCAATGCCAACTCCAGCCAGGGAGTCACCCCAGGGGCATAATCACTACTCACCCGCATCACTCAGTACTCCAGTCAGGGAGAATACCCGGGAGCATCCCAACAATCCATACCCTGCAAGAGAGCTGGCACACATTCCTTCTAGTTGGCCCAACAATACCCCTGTCCCCAGAAGGGGGCAAACACACAGGGAGGTGGTCGAGGAACCAAATCCCGATTACAACACCTCTGACTTCACTCAGGGGACAACTGAGTTTTGGGACAGTACTGAAACCCACACAA